GTAGATTTTTCAAAGTGGTTGTCCCATATCGGCGATAGTGAGCCGTGTTCACTTTTGAAGAAAGAAATGAGCAATCTCCCTCTTTATTTCTTTCCGGACCAAATTGAATTAGTACCTTGTGTCGAGCCTGATAGGTTTGAGTTCCTGAAATGTCCACAATGCTGTGGAATATGATAATCGTGGAATGCATTGTCTTGGTGACTGACAAGTACAAATAGGATTTATCAATTATCCCGGACCTGGTGCTATCGGACATCGGCGTATTAGTTCCGGTTTTCGCTATTCTACAACGGCGTTCGTTGTTTTATATCAGCCACGAGAAATGCGTCTCGTTAATCTTGGGCAGGGTACGCGGCCCGCTCGATTTACCTTGATTAAGAGCTTTCGAAGCTCCGAAGAGTCACTCCTGCTTTGATTTACGGCGTACGTGTACATTTGTTCGTTTCACTGAATTATCGAAAACTTTCAATCTCTCGGATAAATTCTTAATGTTTTATTCAGAATATCATGTATCACCATCGAGTGACTAACTGGGTCAATCAATCAAAATTTGTTTCCTACTGTTTTATTTAATGGTAATAAAAAACATACAGGGCTGCGCGAAACTGGTATGGACTCTCGTGACGGTAGGAATAAAAATTGAACAAAAATTAGAAAATATACTGTATGTGTAGTTCCATTTAAAAAAAAACGAAGTGGATCATTGTATCTCATTAACATAAACACTAACGTGGAAACGAATTTATCAAAAGATGTATCCCCTTGAACCATAAAAATTCCGTACAAAAGCTTCTGCTTATCTCCTATAACTTAGAAAATAAATAAGTGTTGCAATCTAGGACACCCCGCATGTACCTTCTTGTCGGGAATTGCGTGAGGATTACTGGATAACTCGTTTAATATCGGTTTTACAGATGCCCGGGAACACGACGGTAGGCAGCACGCTTGTGGAGGAGGAACTCCATCGGATTCTGCAGGAGAGGGAGCAGGAGTGCTTGCAGCTGCAGGCGATGAATTCCACCCTGCCGCAAGGTAGGATACCTCAATGCATACAAATTTAACGAATCCTTGAAAGTTTCCACTACTGCTGCCCCAGGAATTTTATTACTTGGGCCAGTGGGTGGTACGTCGGCATGCGATCAGATTTCGCTTGCGAGTTAGACCAACGAAATTACTAGGATAATTCTAGCGTGATTAAAGTTAAAAAAAAAAAATACGTACGAGCTTTATTGAAACTCGTCGCGTGTGCGGACATACTAACCAGCTAGTAGTATATTTTTGGACTTACAATTCGGATTTCCTTACCTGAAACCGAGCTCTCGCTGTTAAATTATAGCTCGGGTTCCTTCCGTTTCACTAATAATGTATTAAAAATAATAACACGTTTATACTTTAATGACCACAGTTATAATTGTTTTGGAGGTATATTTGTACACTGAGTGTTTCGTATAAATACTGTCTTATTAAAGAAATTAGGCACATTCTACTCATAAGATCGTACAAAATTGGCTCATTAGGAGCCGTTTCATTTAAATACTCTACACACACGCTCACACAGTCCCTGTTAAAAAGTTCATTTCCTCTTCTTCGACTCGGATGGTCGCTTGACCTTATTCGAACTTGACCTCGTGAAATAATTCTTCACGGCTTTAATCAGGCGTATCGCAATGTAAAGCACGATTGTTAGGCAAACGAGTACGAATGCGTATACGTCCAGAAGGTACTGTTGATACCAGGTGAGATGAATGGCCGGTGACTGCAGCACGTATCCATTCCTCGCAACATATTCCACCCAATAAACTGCGGTATCTATCGCGGTCATCGGTCTATCCTTAAATAACTGTGATATCTTGTTTATGCTAGTCCTGCAAACAAAAATCATGGTGATTTGAATGAAAGGGAAACAGGAGTTTCAGATTTAACGCCTTGCTGTATTTTAACGAGTCTGACTTGTGATTAGAATTTTGTACATGAGTAAACATTATACATATATTATACATATATTATATTTAAACATGAATATTATGAGTCGAAATTGTAATCAGAATTTTATGTCAAACTGGATATCACGAGTCAGATTTATGCTCATAAAAATGTGCGGTTTGCTATAAGCATGAAAAGTGGTGGGAAATGATCTAGGAATGCACGAGGTCCGAATTTTCATTTCAATTTCAATCCAATTAAATGAAACAGATTTGTTGTGTCATTTATAGATACAAACATATTGTTAGCTACGTTATCACAAAATGATGTGGCTAATCATAAAATAATTGAATGAAACAGATTTGTTGTGTCATTTATAGATGTATAATTATTGTTAAGTACATTACAACAAAATGATGTGGCATAAGATAATTGAATAGAATAGATTTCTTGTGGCATTTATAGTCGCACTTATTATTAAGTACGTTACAAAATGATGTTAGTAATTATAAGATAGTTGAATAAATGTGACAGTTATAGGTGTATACTTAAGTGTATTCTAATGAAATAACGTGACTAATCATAAAAGGATTGGATGAAATAGACTTGATGTGGCGCTTTGTATCGTTTCAAAAAAGAGATATTAAAGCGAGCTGATATTATGAAACGTAGAAATGAGGGTAAATAGCGTAAAGTGAGCTCGTTATGTGAGGAACAAAACAAATAGGTGCAGCGGAACGTAAAATCGCTGGGAACTCGTTATGGCGAAGCAAGACGGGGTAAAACGGAATTGCTCAACGAAATGCAGAATCGGTGGGAGTGGTTCAGAAGTAGAAAAAATAAACGAAAATGGTATGATAGGACTAGGACAAAAAAGGTTGCGGTTATTGCGCGTAAGAAGTGAAAGAAAGTGAAGTGGTATAGCAAAATGTACCGCGATTGTTGGTAAAAAAAAAGGTATAAAATGGGAAGCATAATGAGAGAAGCAGAGGCAGGAGACGAGATAATGGAGGAAGCGGAAGAGAATAGAATACAAATGCATATATAAAAAAAATGTATAGATAAATCTAAATGTGGAAAAATGTGCGAGGAAATGACGAAGTTAGGAAACGAATGAATTAATTTAATTTACTTGATTCACGAGTCGTAAATAAATAGTTTGTAACTGTTTCTTAATGTTTCAAATCAATTAAGCATTTAGATATCGTTCGAAGTTTTATACACAATTATAATTAATTATGAATCATTAATTTTGTTTAAGAAATTTTCTGTATAAATTTTGTTTCAATTAATTAAAATTTACTCGCAGAGTAGGAGATGAGATAAACGAAAAAAAGGTGAGGAGTAAAGAAATGTGTGCGTGTAGATATAAAAAAGTGTGCAATGGACAGGGCATCACGGAGGTGGGAAATTGTACGAAAACGAATTAGTTGATTAAACTTTTTAACGATTTGCAAATAAAGAGTTTGTTAACTATTCATTAGTGTTCCGCATCAATTTAGATATTGTTTCGAAGCTTTACATAGAATTATGACTAAAACTATAAATAATGAATTCTATAAAAGGAATCTCTTTATGAATTTTGTTCCAATTAATTAAAACTTACCTATACGTTTTATCGTACAAGACAGCGTTAATAGCAGCGGACAGTGTTTCCTCTGTAACATTCTCGATCGAGTTTAATGTCACGGCTATGTTCTTACTCACTCCGTTTGCTATATTCGTCTTCTGGTCACCGAACAGTGGAATGCCGACCATAGGAATGGCATAATAGATCGCTTCCATAGTACCCATTAGGCCTCCATGCGTGATAAAAGCTTTGACATTCTTGTGCTCTAAAATCCCAACGAATATTTCCATTCAATTATCCTCTCTGTTCGCGAGGGAATTAATTCGACGGTATGTAGGTTCGTAATTAGGAAAGTTATTTAATCACTCACTGAAAACAGACACTTGGGAGAACCAGGGCTGGATCATGACGTTCTTTGGCAAGCCGGGTAGCAACTCCTCCTTCTTCGCGACCTTCATCAACACTCGAACGGGCGCGAGCTTTTCGAAAACTTTGTAGAAAGTTTGCAAAACTGGTTTGGGGAACGACTCGATTCTCATCATAGATCCGAACGTGAAGAATATGCAACCGTGCGTGCTCTCGTCCAACCATTTTTGCACCTCCTATTGTTTCAACGAAGCTCGACGTTAGAATTTAATATAATTAGTTCAATTGATTGCATTCTCAATTAAGGTCGTATGAACTGAAGTTTTCGAAATCCGATGAAAAGCTGTGTCCAATATTTGATATAATAAACTTTTAGCACGAAATTCTCTCATTGTAGCATGTATGTTTTTTCATAACTGAAATCAAATTTTTGCCATTTAAAAAAACTGCTTTGTCATTGATTTTATTTACGGGCTCATACAACATTCGAAACTAATTGACGAATCACACGCTAATTGGTACAAATTGACGCTGGAAAGTAATTCACGTTCATGCAGATCGGAACTGTGACACGCGTTCGCTGAATCGATTACTTAGTTCCATGTTTACGAGGTTTTTTACGTCTTCCGAGGCATTACGTTAATTGTTCGTTGCGTCATAATCTTAGGTGTTCATCTTAATAGAGCTATCCTTGTACTCTTTATGTTTCTTTCTTCAGTTGTAAAGCAATCATTTTACTAATACAAATATTTAGTTCTATCTTTTATGCATTTATAGCAAAATTGAGTATGTAAAAAATGTGAGACATACTATAAAACAAGTGACCCAATTTCTGTTCATGTTAGAGTTCCCACTCACTGTCTGTTTTTTTTTTATTATTTTACATTTAATCATAAGCCAATGAAAGGAAGTGGTGACGTGAACAGGAATTGGGTCATTTACTCCGTGCATGAAATATCGACAGTAAAATGTACAGCATGACGTCTAAAGGATTAGAGGGCATTCTTGCTAAATATTATTTCCTAAATTGATACCTTATGAGTTTTATTTTGCATAGGAAACCGCATTCTGTTTATCACTAGATTGCGGACTCTTATGCAGAATTCAACATTTCTGATAATAAGATTGACAAATGCATTTCATATAAGGATTTCTGTAAGAATTAAAATATTTCGATACGCAGGCACTTCTGATATTTTATACATAGTTTTATGCATCACATACAGCATTTATACAGGGTGTCCCAGAACTCATGATACATTTTTTAATGAGACGTTCCTGAGATAAGTTCTGGAACACCCTGTATATTCTACACAAAATCCGTCTATTTGTTATCTTAATCTCTGTTCAAATCTTTATGTAAAAGATCAAACAGAGATAACATGCTTGGATTACTCAGGGATTTTCACTTCACATATCTTGAAGATTACTCAATGCAACAGAATAATAATAATAGTAACAAAAACAACAACAACTACTACTAGTA